TTGACGCTATTGGAATAAAATTTTTGCGTACGAGGGATGCTCGAACCCAGGCCGTCTCCGTGGCTTACAGGTGTTCTAACACAGAGCCACGATGCTTGTTGAAACAGTCATAAAAAAAAAGCTACAAGAATCTCATGTAGGAGAAGGAGCCTCCTTAATGCCTCCTATGCTGCGTACTACAGAACAATAGAAGAGTGCCAGGCGTCAAAACATATCAATTCAGCAGCGAATGGGTCTTTTAAAGGGCCGCTAATTACACAGTGTCCAGATATTTATTCATCATCAGCAGAAGAACCATCCACAAAGCAAACAGGTGCGTAGGTTCGCGTGTCGGCCTTTGGATGCCTGGTGGACCCTTCACTGATCAGTAAATGAAATAAATATGGCGTAGTGGGCACTCAGCAACTGCGCTTGCTATAGGTATGCAATGATACGTTATTACGGTCAATGCTTCGCGCACAGATGCTTGTTTCCTTACAGCATGGTTCAGGCATGCATCGAAAACTGAAGCAAGTTAGCAGTTTAGACGGCGGTGAGCACGAGGCCCAATTGCACCATCACGACACACGGTTGAAGCCTTTACCCCTGATGTTAAGAGACTGTGTTACGTTATGTTTAAAACTTGGATTATTTCAGATTTGTGTATCACACTTTATGCTACGATAATCTGAACATCAGTGCAGTGTAGCGTCAATTAGAACCAAACTCTTATAACAGAGGGGTTGTTTTACTTTTTTAATCGATCTCCTTTTGTCATAAGTACTACAATAAGGCAAGGAAAAAACTCTAATTTCCGTCACGCTTACAATATTTTTTTGGCTAATTATGTGTCGGATTTATACAATTGTTTCTATCGAAGAAAGAAGCCCCTCAAAAAATCTGTTTTTGTTCACCATGTGATGTCGTAAGTCACTAAGGAAGCCAGTGCTTTCCACTGCACACAAAATACTTCCTCAAACGTAGTTTTAAAATTAAAAAAGCGCATGAGTCAGATTGATGAAAGGTTTTCGCTTACTAGAGCATGACCTGCAAAAGGCCATAACAAATAGAATGATTTGAATGTTTTTATTCGACAACCTGCTCAAAGCATTACGGCAAAAATGCTGTCCAATATTGATCTGTCTTTTCAAACAACTTTGACCCTATAATTTAAATTATAGATAAAGATAATTCTCTATACAACAGTAATTCGACTGAATAGTCCAAATCGTAGAAAGTTCAGAAGACGCGTTGCACTTACGCTCGTCGAAACGTTTCGTCAAAATGGCTTCCCCGAACACGTTCATTGCCCGAGCGTGAACACTGAAAGCGTTGAAGACAAGGGAGTGCAACATTGGCTGCTGACCAATAAACACAAAAATGGCCAGATCAGGAAAAGGAGCCTTCGCTTTTCCCTACACACACAGTGCGAAGAACACATCAACGCTACTTGACAGAGCGTGAGACGTATTCGAATGTCCTCCCCCGTACTGAACTGGTGTCGTTTGTCAACGTGACGGGATGCTATTTTGGCGAAGAAAAACGACACTTTCAGGAATCGGTTCAGCAACACTGCCGGGCCCTGTCTCATACGCAGCATGTGACGCCCCTTGTCTGTTCCCGCTTCGCGCAACCGTGTTAGTCCACAGGCAAAACACTTTGTGAGCGGTGCAGGGAAAATTGCGCCTGTCGAAAGAGCTCGCTGCCTGTTACCTTGGTGCTACTTCTAGGGAGAGCAAGGAGTGCCGTGACGGAGGAGATGATTGCTCCATGGCAGTGGCACTGACCTGATGTGTGTGTTACGCCATGAAGAGAGGTATGGCGTATTTTTCAGATGCCGACGTAACTAAATTTGGCGAGAGAATATGGGGGCGCAAACCTGGTTTAAGTAATGTATGGCATAATTTGTGCTGTATATCCTGCTATGAGAGCAAGAATAAAACCATCTGCCTAACCCTCAACGTCACAGTGAAGGGAGTTAAGAAACTAAACAGATAACATTGATGCATCTCTGGCTAAGTGAGGTGTTAGACAAAATGGTTGAAAATGACGGCTTGGCAGCTTTTAAGGTGGTAGGCCACCTTCAGAAGTCATTTTTTTCGCGAAATAAATTTTTAGTGTTTTGTTTTTGTTGCACGCCCAAACATTCACACATATGTTGCAACAAAAATTATCCCCCTGGCGTCATTAGTTTGCGAGTTACAGCAAGTTTTCTATACCCTATGCAAACCAAACCCACATTTCCAACTGTGGTTTCGGTTTCGAAAAATTCCAAGAGCTATGCCGCTGTCAAAGACATGTATGGAAAAGACAGTGTGCAGAAACTCAAATGTATTGGGCATGTTCAGAAGCGTGTTCACTCCCGCCTCAGAAAACTAAAGAAGACAGTGCGTGGACTCAGTGGTAAGGGAAAGCTCACTGATGCCCTCATCGACCGGCTGCAAAACTACTATGACATCGCCATAAGGGCTAATGTGGGGAACCTTTCTGCAATTAAAAAGGCTGCCCTTGCCAGTCTTTTTCATTGCAGCTCTACCGACAAGCTGCCTAGACATGGCCTGTGTCCACTTGGACCGAAAAGCTGGTGTGGATACCAAAGGGTCGAAGCACTCGGCCAAGGGAAATATATACACAAAGGACGACTCTCAAATTATGTGCTCAACAAAGTTAAAACTGTATACAGTGATCTGTGCTCTGATGAACTTCTAATGAAGTTCCTTCATGAAAAGACTCAAAATGCTAATGAGTGTTTCAAAGTTCCAATATGGCAGCGGGCACCTAAAGAGGTACACGTAAGCTTGCCTACAGTAATGTTTGCCTTGCATGATGCTGTGGCACACTTTAATAATGGCAGTTTGAGCACCCTAGATATCCTGAGGCAAGCTGGCATAGAACCAGGGTACCACACGACGAAAGCTTGTATTGGCAGGGATCACCTGCGCATGCAGAATGCTAAACGCAAGTCAGCGGATGGGACAAAACAGGCCAGGAAGAAAAGACCAGCAGCCACCCGAACAAAAGGAGACACTAATGCTTCCGCAGAAGGGCCTAGCTATGAATCTGGTGCATTTTAGGCCTGCATGCGAAGATTGTGACCCTTTTTACAAGCTCGGAAATCGTTGTTTATGTTTTTTTCTGAAAATAACAACATCATCATCATCATCATCATCATCATCATCATCATCATCATCATCATCATCAGCCTGACTACGTCCACTGCAGGACAAAGGCCTCTCCCATGTTCCGCCAGTTAACCCGGTCCTGTGCTTGCTGCTGCCAATTTATACCCGCAAACTTCTTAATCTCATCTGCCCACCTAACCTTCTGTCTCCCCCTAACCCGCTTCCCTTCTCTGGGAATCCAGTCAGTTACCCTTAATGACCAGCGGTTATTCTGTCTACGCGCTACATGCCCTGCCCATGTTCATTTCTTCTTCTTGATTTCAGCTATGATATCCTTAACCCCCGTTTGTTCCCTAATCCACTCTGCTCTCTTCTTGTCTCTTAAGGTTACACCTACCATTTTTCTTTCCATTGCTCGCTGCGTCGTCCTCAATTTAGGCTGAACCCTCTTTGTAAGTCTCCAGGTTTCTGCTCCGTAGCTAAGTACCGGCAAGATACAGCTGTTATATACCTTCCTCTTGAGGGATAGTGGCAATCTACCTGTCATAATTTGAGAGTGCTTGCCGAATGTGCTCCACCCCATTCTTATTCTTCTAGTTACTTCAATCTCGTGGTTCGGCTCTGCGGTTATTACCTGCCCTAAGTAGACATAGTCTTTTACAACTTCAAGTGCACTATTGCCTATCTCGAAGCGCTGCTCCTTGTTGAGGTTGTTGTACATTACTTTCGTTTTCTGCAGATTGATTTTAAGACCCACCTTTCTGCTCTCCTTGTTTAACTCCGTAATCATGAGTTGCATTTCGTCCACCGAGTTACTCAGCCATGCAATGTCATCGGCGAAGCGCAGGTTACTAAGGTATTCTCTATTGACTCTTATCCCTAACTGTTCCCATTCTAGGCTTCTGAAAACCTGCTGTAAGCACGCGGTACCTCCCACATGAAAATAACAATTTGCTCCAAATGTTGCGACGCAAACTTTCATAACGTATTGCTCAGCGTATACTTTGAACTGAAATTCTGCACAATTAATTTACAACATATATATCTGTGGAGTGAACTAGAATAAAAGAAATCAATCGAATATTTTTTAAGTTCACAGCTGAATTCTCCAACAGGTCAAGTCTAAATTGGCTCTTTTTCCCCATTTACTTGGTTTTTTTAGCATTAGTTCCTTGATATTCACTGCATATTATTTATTATAATTCATGTTAGCTCCAGCCATTAGTTAGACAAGTGTCAAAGCTTTACTGAATAAAGCCACCCATTAGTCACTTATCACAGCTGGCGTGGCAAGCACTTTTAATGCATTTTTTTGAAAAAATTACCTCCTATTAAATAAATACCCAATATTTTGCAGTGTAAATAGCTCGGTAAATTAAATAAGAGATGCCGGTTTTGAGGAAAAAGCTATTTCAACGCTGCCTACCCTTAAATTTTTTTTTCTTTTGATTGGCCTACCACCTTAATGGAATTATAATTAAGCAATAATGTTGGAAGTTTTTGTTCAAAATTTTCTGCACATTCCACACTGGTAAATTCGGGAGGACCTTACGAATGGTTATGAAATCAACACCGTGAAATAAAGTACCGGATGTTTCCAAGAACTGCCTTGCTGTGAAGATATGTTCGGCAAAATAACACAAAATGCAGCAGCCGTGTCCACGTCCAAATATGTGCATTATGATGACGTTGTTTACTGCACAAGCCAATTAAAAATTTATCACAACGCACAACGTTTTAAAAATGCTCTACTATAAGTTAACCCCCCCCCCCCCCCCCCATTCACACAGTGCGTTGCGAAAGATGAGAGGGGATAATGAAGAAGTATTGACGAGGACGTAAAAGTACCATTTCTGTGGGTAAGGTCTGAATTCTCAACCGTCCGATTACACAACAGTATCAAAATATCGGTCCACTAGGGCGCATGCTCTTACATTGAGGCAGGAGGAGTGCGTCGCTGTCCGTGAGGCCTTCAGTATTCTCGGCGGTGCAGAGAAACGATCCGGTCAAGTTTGTCTTGAGAGATGAGCGTGAAAGACGCCTTGAAGGCTCCCCTTCGCGAACGGGACTCTGGGAGTAAACTGTCCTCCCGTTCAGCTTCCATGTGAAACGGCTCACCCGTGGGTTGGCTTTTGCTTCGCAGCGCAAATGCACCGCGAACGAGCTCGTCTGCGGGCTGCTCCCGCACAAGGATATGACACGCAGGCTCACTTCTGGCTTGTCTGCATATAAAAGTAAAGCAAAAAAGCATATCAGAATATTTGGCTACTTCTTAGCACTTTTGTGAATGCTATTCGTTAGGTCACCCAGAAGATATATCTTGATAAGCTATGCAAGAACAAAAGACGCAGTTTTGCCGCGAAGGCATCAAAGCGAAAGAACAGCCTCGAATGTTACACGAAGAACGGCAAGCCGCTCTAAACTTGTTCCGCGCTGCCCAACGCAAAAAAAAAAAATACGTGCAAAAAATGCAGAAGTATCCAGGGGACAAGCGCGAGTGTCATAGTAGTTACTTCAAGCAGCCCCTACTTTGGCTTTCCTAGCTTTCGGCTCACTCCTTTCGCAAACGCGGCCACTGTAGCGAGCGAAGTGACCTTTATGCAGTACAAAACATCTACAATAAGACGGTAAGTTGGGCCAGTTGGTTAAGATCCATCGTGAACTTATTTACAGCGCAACAACAACAAAAAAAAAAAAAACACAGGACAGGAGAGGACAGGAAGGAGCGCCATCTTTTTTTTCTCTTTTGCTCCTTCCCTGTCCAGTGTTTTTTTGTTTTTTTTTTTGGTGTTGCGCTGTAAATAGGTTCACGATGGACCGAAAATTCCACTCAAACTGCGATGACGGCACAACATGTACGAACCTCCCACTTTAAGAAACAAGCACGCTAGCATGGGTGACAACGCTATGTACGTCAAAGTACAAGTCGCAGGCATGCATAGAAAATGCTGTGAAACAGGAGCGGAGTGCAGGACTGTAAAGCTAGGGCGCCTTGGTGCACGAATAGACATCAAGACGCCCCATTTTAGGCACACCTTTTGCACCAATACGCTGAAGCAGTACCGAGATCTTCATACCACCAGCAGCAAATGGTGTATGTGAAATAGCCTTTGTTAGAATGCCATATGCTGTGGGGCTGAACTGTCTGACGTAGTGTGCCGCGTAGCGAGATGTCGCAGGTTCAAATTCCCGGTTGCGTGATTCGTAAAGTACTTCTTCTAAGGTGATTTATATGTGGGGTCTAACGTCCCAAAACCGCGATATGATTATGAGACACTGCGTAATGCGGGGCTCCGTAAATTTCGACCACCTGGGGTTCTTTACGTGTGTGGTATACTTTTCTTCTTCTTCTGACACGACACACTTGGGACATAAGCTAGTAGTGGGTAGTCGGCTAAGGAGAGAAAGAGAGGTAGTTGGAACAATGGCGGAGATGCAATAATAAACGGCGCTGTGTTTTCAGAACCGTGTTTCAGATTGCTATATTTATTGGTGACCCGGACGTGATGCGATGAATGCGGAACTTGTTCTTGACTTGAATGAACCATAAGGAGGGATCGGCAAGCCACAGCTGTGGTAGCGTCATGGTAGCAGTACCTCCAACAACACCCGAAGAGGGTACATGGCCGGGTGCAGTGGCAGCGGTACCAGGGCTGAGGCTGTCGAGATGCTCACGCTGCTCCATGGAAGGTCACGTTCGTAGTCCGGGTCCCCAATAAATATAGCACTCTGAAACGCAGTTGCGAAAACACAGTGCGGTTTATTAATGCATCTCTGCCATTGTTCCAACTACCTCTCTTTCTCTCCTCAGCTGACTAGGCTCTACTAGGTTATGTCCCAAGTGTGTCGTGCCAGAAGAAGGAGAAAAGTATGCCACAGATAGCAGATAGCCCCCCCCCCCCCCCCCCCCCGCTCGGTGACCTCGTCAGCTCCGTTTCTACGCAGCGTGTTTCGAATCCATCTTCTTTCGTCCAGCGTCTGCGGATCTTCATGCAAAACTTGCGCCGATCACCAACTTCATTCACACTAAGAACGACGTTTTTCTGCCGGCAAACCTACAGACATCTTCACAAGTTTTTGTTCGTGTCGATGCGTCTCGCCGTGCTCTTCAGCGTCACTATGACGGTCCTTTTCCAGTCATCACGCGTTCTGAACATCATTTTACAATCCTGCGTAATGGGCATGAAGACAAAGTCAACATTGAAAGGATCAAGCCGGCACCCATTCTGACAAGCTCCGTCTGATCATTTTTTTTCTTAAGTGCCCATGGCCACTTGTCTGCAGGGGGGGGGGGGGGGGCTATCTGTGGCATACTTTTCTTCTTATTCTAGCACGACACAGTTGGGACATAAGCTAGTAGTGGGTAGTCTGCTGAGGAGAAAAAAGAAGGGGTCGGAACAATGGCGGAGATGCTTTAATAAACCACGCTGTGTTTTCGGAACCGCGTTTCAGAGTGCTATACGTGCACCCAAACCTGAGCACACGGGCCTACAACACTTCCGCCTCCACCGAAAATATAGCCGCCGCCACCGGGATTCAATCCCACGACTTGCGGGTCAGCAGCCGAGTACCATAGCCACTAGACCACCATTGCGGGCTTTCTTCCAAGTTTTTTGTAGTGAATGAATATATATATATATATATATATACATGATGATGGCGGCGCCGGCCCCGCGCAGCGAGTATGTGCTTCCTATCGCAATGAAGCGATTGGAAACACATACACGTTTATTCTGCCTACAAGTGCGCAACGACAACTCAGAGTATTACTCTGTTGCCTTAGTTACATAAAAAGTGAAATTTTGTCTCTAACTGTCGTGTGCAGTACCGGAAACACTGTGATGAGTAATATTGCAGCCAACATAAAAGTTAAAATTTCTTTTTACCCGCCACGATAGTCTAGTGGTTAAGGTATTCAACTTCTGACCCATCACAGCGGCATTTTCGGTGGAGGCCACGACGCTACAGGTCCTTTCATTCAGATTTAAGTGCACGTGAGAAAACCGCAGGCGGACAAAATTTCTAGAGTCCTCGTCTACGGTATCTCTCATAATCATATCATGGTTTTGTGACGTTAACCTTGAACAATTATTTTATTATTATTACTGTTACAAATTTTTTTCGTAGCCCTGAAAAATTACCTCTTGATGCGTAAAGCCCATAGCAGACGTTACTTTTAAAGTTTCCGCAAGGAGTATAAAATCTTTAGAATTCAAGACAACTCAATCGAACTTTTCTAGCGAGCATGTTATTGCAATCACATCAAAATATTAATCATGCAATAGGCATGCATCTCGCAACGCTCATTTATGTAAATTATGTATTCAATCAGCCTGATCTTACAGAAATGAGCAGCAGGATGTAGTGATAAACATGCCGTATACTGGAATAAATTAGTACCAAACACATGCATACAAATAAAGAGAAGAGTTGTCACTTTTGACGGGTCATTGCTCTGTGTCGTATATCAACAGAAGGTATTTTTCACAAACCTATGGCGTCTTACTATTCGTAAAGCTGCTATGCACTCGTGTTTTAAAAGTTGCCGATCACGTAACGCTTCAAGAGCGATGTTTATTCTTTTATTCGAACACCCGGGCTAAAACACATTGCAAAGGACATCGTGTACACGCAACAAACCAACGCATATACAGTTGAAAACCGTAGCAAGTAGGATAAAGACCTGAGAGCTGCTTATCAAACAACGGCTGTCTGACTTTATTGGCGCGACATAGTGGCAGAGAAATATCAAGGTATTTGAGAACGATGGCAAAGCTGTTCTAACATTCAAGCGTAAATGTGTGTACTCTATTCAATGCATTGTTGAAAACCTATTACATACGAACAATAATGCTTTCTATGCAGTGTACGCCTAATATTATCGTTACCATAAACTTTCTATTGGGTTAGTAAAGGTTCAACAATATACAAATATGCAGCGTTTGATGATTCCGGTAAGTAATTTCACTGAAACCAGGGCACAAATGTGATCCCACATGGCTGTACAAAAGGAGGATCTTTACAAGTGATACTACTGAAGAGACGTACTCATAGAACGAAGAGCAGTAATACATCCTAATAAAGAACTGACCTAACAACGCCCCTCCTTTCCATACAAGTGCACACTGGGTTACTTCAGAATAGCCTCTCAGTTCTGCAGCAAAGAAAATGTGGATGGTTCCGGATCTCTCAGTAGTAACGACAGCTTTTCAAACCCTTCACTTCTGTAAGAGGCAGGAATCGTGGTTGGTCTAGCAGGTCGCGCGTGGTTAGAAGTAAAATGTTGCACAAAAAAAGATAAAAGCTTGGTTGATTTTTTTTCTAGGAATCGGTATAACAGAAAAGTGAAACGTGTTCCCGCAGAGGTAGTTCCACATTGATTGTGCATTGTTTCGCCACAAGGACAAAGAAACGAATGCTGCAGTAACGAATTGAAATATCACGCGAAGAACCGCAAGCAGCCCGAAACTTGCAGCGCGCACCTGAAACAGAAAGCACGCAACAAATAATCATACTCAAGACGAGCATGCACTAACAACTGACACAATTATTTTTTCGTGTGTGAGCAGCGGGTTTCTTTCGTAGACGCAGCAGGAGCGAATTGACGTTCGCGCTCAATGGTAACTTGAAATAAAACGTGCGATACAAGCACAAAAGATACAAAGCACCTGAATCTTGAGATAAGCGCACGCGTGCGAGTGAGCCTACACTAGACAACATTGCGGCGCACGTGCACAGTGACACGCGGGTTAGTGCGCAACGACGACCTTCAGAGCGCGAGCGCCCAACGCGCACCCTTCGTGCCAGCTCGCTACTGATTGCTGAAACACACTGAAGTATCCGAGCCCTGGTGACCACCAGCGGTAAATGGTGTATATATACGGCTCACCGTCAAGATGCGTAAGAAGGGTCTTTCTGTAGTGTAGTGGTTACAGCGTGTGGTAAAGAGCGCGAGGTCGCTGGTTACAGCGTGTGGTAAAGAGCGCGAGGTTCCACACTGTGGAACCTTTGACTTTCGTTTTTTAAAGACGATAGTTTTTGTTGGGGTACTTCAACGCGAAAATTTTGGTCTGTCTGTATGTCTGTCTGTCTGTCTGTACGTTTGTATGTTTGGCCGCCATAACGGTAGCCCAAAACGAGTTCACACAATACCCAAATGGCCAACCCCATCCACAGCACCCACCAATATTACTCGAATTTCAGCGTTCATACTTGTGCGATT